CCAAAAATCATAAAAATTAAACTATGGTTACGGGAGGGAAAACTTCATCGCTTTTTGTATGAAAATTTACAGCTTCAAAAAATAGGAGATGAAGTTAGGTACCATAGAATACTATAAATTATGTTAGGTACTAATGTAGCTATTTAAACAACATTCTATTCTTTACATTGCAATCGTGATATTCTTCAGTTCACTCAAGAGGGTGTAAAAGTAAACCGGTTGTAAAAATTAAAATATTAAAATAATTTGCATATAATCGCTTTTATTAGCTGGGGTTTAATTCTTCAATTTTCTTTCAATTAATACAAGATCTGATAACACGTTTTGAAAGTCTCTGGGTTACTTCACAGTGTAAGTGGAGAGGCAAATTGATCAATCTCTGATATCAGAGAGTTTTAGAAATAGACTTGGCTTCCTGCACGAGCCGGTGCCAGCAAAAAGACAAACTGTTGTGGTCCAGACTCGTTACGTTGGTCATCATGCCTTTGACTGCATTCAAGAATTTGTGATAGCTTGATATCTAGTTGTACTATACTATCTCCAGCGCAGCAGGAATATCTTGGAATTTTTTGCCGTGGTCTAAATTAGCCCAGAAGTTTTTAAAAATAAAAACAACATTAAATTAAAAAAAAACAATATTAATAATCTAGTTAAGTTAATAGTAAGTGCTACGTGCTTACAAAACCGTAAAATCCAAGTTATTATATAATTTATGGTGAATATCTAAATTATGAATTTCTTTTGACCCCATTGGAGATAATTTATCGCATTAAATATAAAAATAAAGTATTGCCAGTTATTAAAATCTGCCTTAATTTAGGGTGTAGAATATCATTCATTCATTCATTATAGGCAAAGAAATTTAAATAGTAGTAATAGACCGGACATCAGCAACAAAATTGTCGTCTCTAACTTTTGTTATATTGGATATATCTCCGATTTTTGTCATTTAGTCTAAGTGACATCATCGAAAGGTAAAGACGCATTCGTTTCATAAATTTAAAAAATATTTTTAAAGAAAATATGCCCGTTTGTGCATTAAGGTATTGTAAGTCACGATATGGAGCAAAAAAATGAACGTGATTTCTGTTTATTATCCTAAGAATAATGTATATTTACCAAATATTCTTTAAATTTTATATTTATAGTAGATTGTTCTAGAAGAAAGAAAAATTATTGTAATAAGTGACCTCTGTTATCCAGTAACGTCACTATTTATTTAAAAATATGTTAGTGACTGACGACGTACCTAAAACGGATTTTTACCTTGTATTCAGTAGCGTCACCTAATGGGAAATAGCTAAATCAAATCATCCAAATAAATATTCCGCGTAGTATTGCTATTTTTCGCTAGGGGGCTTAACACACGCGCGTGCTTACCGTTTTTGTATGCAAATGTTCCCAATGTCCGCTCTATAGTATATGTATATTTAAATCTCTTTGATTATAGTATATAAAAAAATGGCTGCTGGACAAAGGCATTCCCTATAGTAGTATATCTAGTACTTAAGAGTCTATTAGACTCTTACGTTTCACAGTACTTAAGAGTCTATTAGACTTTTAAGTACTGGGTGTACTGTGTAGTGGGAGTGTAAGAATATCCACTACCCCATATCGTCCCGTGGGTGTCGTAACAGGCGACAGAGGGAAATTGGAACAGGAGATGGGCAGCAGCGTCTTCATGATAACAACTCCAAATAATAAAAAACTGCGATTGCCAACCCGCATGCCAGGCATGGCAATAATGGAAAATCACCTATGAGACAATCTATGGGGGAGGCCTATATTCAGCAGTGGACTTTTATAGACTGTAATAGATGGATGGATGTAAGTAGTCCAACATACAAGAAGCACTTTTGCAGCTGTAAGGAATGCCATAATCCACAACTGTGCAAGTAAAATGTCCGTCAGTGTACCTAACCTCTTGTATTATCAGTTGTGGTTTTATAAGACTGTCAAATATGGAATGGTTATTCTAATTATTGTAGAAAGCTACAGATCTTCCTGACATTTTCTTAAGCAAGTAATTATTGATAATTACCATAGTTCTTACGCGAATACGGGAGAACTAGAAGTTAACAATGCTCTAAAACCTACTCGCATTTGAAAATCGTTGCTCATCGGTGCTCGGTTTCTAGTGGAGCAACGTGCGCAGGACTTTTGGTCGCTGCATATGATGTTTTCTTTGTTTGTTTTGCTTAGTGTTTTAAAGAGCCACTTGCGCAAACTGTGACGTTTACTGAGCGTTAACTACGAGTATACCAACGATAAGAAAAACGACGTAAACTTCAGGTTTTATTTATTTATATTATTTAATATTCTTTATTGCACACTATACAAAAATTACAGAAATTATATATTCAAAAGAAGTATGTAATGTGCGGTCTTATTGGTGACAGCGATTTCTTCCAGACAACAATGAATGGACAGGATTGCACGAAGATGACAGGGGTAGCGACAGGGGGTTTTATTTAGCAAATTACTTACTATACGTTATTACGAGTATGCTAGCCCACTGTAAAATAAACAATTCCAAGAATGAGCCAAATGATGAATTTCTTAAAAGGTATATTAACCTTATACTATACTTATTCCTAAGATTAAATGGCTCCGTGGCGCAGTGTCTTAGCAATGAGTGACTGCACTGGAGGCCGCAAGTTTGAATCGCGCACGGAACAAGTATTTGTATGGCCTAAATATAATTGTTTCGGGTCTGGGTGTTTGTCCTTGTGCAATTTATGTTTGTAAACTGCATCCACAATACAGGAGAAAATCCTAGTGTGGGGGTAATGTTTAAAAAGAAAATAAAATTAATAAATAAATAAATAAAATTCCTCCGTTCAGGCATATCATTAAAGGCAGGCCATCACTTTACGTGGGATCAGGATTCGTTAAATAATGTTTTAACATATAGCTTTAGAACATATAGCTGATGTGAAGAATCGACGCTCCGGGAAGTCTGCAGTCTGTGAACACGTACAGAATCGCCCCCGTCACTACATCCGATTTGATAGACCGCAAATAATTGCTAAAGAACACCGATTCCTTCCAAGGATGATTCGCGAGGCTATTGAAATCAAAAAACATCCTAATTTCAATAGAGAAGATGGCTAGGTGCTACCATCTGCTTGGGATCCTATAATAAATAAAATTAAATCCCAACCCAAGCATACAACTGCAAGACTTCAAGATACCATAAGTTCATACTGTATAGATCGGAACAAAAGTTAAATTTTAATCTATGGTAACCGCGGTTAACTATGACATATGGACGTTGAACATCTCAGTCCCGCCCGTGACCATGAGTGCTGTAAAGCGTTCGAAACGTCGGGTATTTAAAAAGTTAAATATACGCGATAAATTCCGTAAAAACTAGTATTATTTCAATGTGTAGTGTTCGCGTAAATATTAGAAATCATTAAATAATGTTTTTCGCAAACAATGGCTTTAAGCACAACGTCCCTTAGATAATAATAGTCAAACACATCACGCAGATCAAGATTTTCCATTACACCTAATTAACCAACCGTTAAATATTTTGTAATCATTAAAGGTGTGCTTACACGGGCAACTAAAATTGCTCAATGCCAGTCAATACTCGTCAACTATGACGTAACGACTACTTCAAGCAATTCACGGCAACAGCAACAAGCATCAATACTGCGCAATACAATATTGAGCGATATGGCGCATCTTCATCAACTAGACAATATTTTCCTACACGAGCATTTCAGTATTCGCTCGCTATGGACGACATTGTTCTTGCTGCGGCGGCTTGTAGCGCTGTTTTATTATTAATCAAAAACAAAAAAGAAAGAAAAGGAATGGACGTATCTGGGTGCGATCGTTTGTGGCAAAGAGGCCTCAATTTTCATTGTGTAAAGAATTAGATGATATATTATTCAAAAACTTTACTATAATGTCACGAACAGACTTTGAATTACTTTTGAATAAATAAAATTTGAAATAATTTTGCGGCGGCAAGGCGCAAAACAAACAAGTGCGAATGAGATATATACAAAAATTGCTAGGAATTTCCAAGCCCATTGGATATTCGTCAATTCGTATCTGCGACATTTAGCGATATGAAATATCTGGAGCAATTAGAAGCAATATCGCCGAAATAATCGCCGGAATTTACTCCATTGCTTTGAAATTGCTCCATTAATTGCTCCAGATCGGTCCATTCGTGTGAACGAGCAATTATTGCCCTCGTGTAAGCGCACCTTAATAATCAAAACTGAATATTTATATTTAAGTATCTATATGTAAGTTGAAATGGCAACGGGCCAGTCATATAGATTTGAAGAACTGACGTACTCATGAAGAGGAAGAGAGGTTCTCATGTGACAGGCTCGTACCGGTAAGTAAAATGTGTAACAATCTCCCAATAGATTTTTATACGAGATAGGTGGTAGAGCCATGCTGCAATTATATTAGTAGCATAGTTGTAGCACGAATGGGTCGGCTCAATCGGGGAAGGACCACGCTCTCACAGAATACCAGCGTAAAATAGTAGCTTAATGCTGCTGTGTTTCGTATGGTGAGTGTAGAGAACCGGAGACCCTTTTTAACAGAAACGAGGCACTCCATCTTAGTATTTACGGGTGACAACGCATCTGCATTATGATTTGCATTCGAGGATAGATGTAGATGTCTCTGGGTCGCAGCAACCACTTACCACCAGGTGGACTGTGGGCTCGTTTATCCTATAAAAAATAGATAAAGCGACGACTTAGGGAGTCGATGAATGTTGGCTCGGGACCTTGTTTTATAGCATTCATTGTGGGATGCCTTTGTTCAGCAGTGAACATGTGAATAGCAGTAATGATAACAATAATCTATTTATTCAATCAATTTAGGGAAATATATTTACTTGGCAACACTACGAAAAACCAGTTGTTAGTGACTTTTGTATTCCTGTCAAGCACACACGTGATTACCGATTAAATATGAGTTATTATGTTCATTTTGCAATATGTTTTCTTTTTTATAACGTGATGATTTCATATGGATACCTGCAGGGAAAAACAGTGATTCAAGAGGTCTTAAAATGGAAACAAATATCGTACGATTTTGACGGAATTTTGTGTAAGTAGCTTTATTTGTTACGGATCAACTTCTTTACTACGTGTTTATTTCTTGAAATCATGAATACCGTTACCTCCCATCGCGCTACCTCACACCGCGCCTCATGCGCTGACCTTACAGTACCAATAGCAATTAGCAACGCTGTTTATACTCGTTGTTTAAACTACCGTGCGATCTCTAGTTCGAATCCAAGTTCAAATTTATTTATTGCCAAAATCTAAGTTAATAGTAATATGATATTGTTCGTTGTTACCAGCGCGGCGGACACTTCCTTGCCCTAAACCCTCTCAAAAATGAGGGGAGGCTTGAGCCCAGCAGTGGGACGTATATAGGCTTTAACTTTAGTTGTTAATGAGACCATACATTCTACGGAAGGGAGATCTTTATGACTTTGTGTGTGTTACTTTTATTGTTGCTGTTTTTGTTACTGTTAATTTTATTTCTTTCTGTTGACTTTTTACGTTTGTTAATTTGTGATAAACACAGAATGGAGTGATGGCTGTAACCCAGAAACGAAAGATTTCGATGGAATAATTGGTATCGAAATTAAGGATTCGTAAATATCTACGTAGGTACCAGTTTTTGTTCGCGCCTTCGTAAATCATTTATTGAAAATTTATAATAAAATATTTTATTTTATCACAGACACGTTCCTCCTATTCACTCTACTAACAAAATAAATTATTTAATAATATGCATTTTATCTACTTGCTTGTAGTAGGTGGCAATATCGAAGCATAGATAAGCTAGTGTCGAACACTGGCCATATGGTGCGCAGTTAATACAATTTCAATTCAATTTAAAAATGTAATTTTAAGGAAGGACTGGAATAAACTTCCGATAGATGACGCTATAACTAACGTGACCATGTTTTATTATTGGAGGACAATATCCCATAGGAGAATAGTTGAAAAAGTGGCCTTGTGCAACAGGATATGGATAAATCGCCGTAAAATACGTTGGAGTGATTTTGAAAATAAAAATTTTGGAAGCAATAAAATAATTATTGTAAAAGAATTATGGTGAAAATCTATTATGCAATAAAAAATTATAAAAAGTACCTACTTTAAAATTTAGACTGTAGCTACAGTGGCGCCACCTATTTAGCGCTTTTCTACGGACACTTTTTTATACAGTCTGTACTCCTTACTTCTACACTCTTTAATTATTACTAAATTAAGGAGTACCAAACTAATAAACTAAATTATACGAGTATAATTTATGTGTTTTTCTGGTAGTAACACTTCAGTGGAAAGGGTATTTTCTCATATGGATTACTGAAAAAAAAAATGCTATTAGGAGTCGTATAAGAAGCCATTTTGGTAAATAAAAAGCCATGCCAACAGTACCATTAACATTTCAAAACGAAAATTGGTATAAAAAAACCAAATTTGCTTTTCTGAACAAATACAAGGTGAATGATTAAAACCATAGAATAGAATACTATAAATGCAGTTAAAACATTAATTAAAAAACCCAACTGCGTTAAAAACTTCTCTTCCCTTTTTTGTACTTGCAGATGCAATATATTGTATAGGCTATAATATCACTGTCACAAATAAGTTGAACCAACGACACCTCATATGTTAAAATCCACCAAGCCGTTAACGCCGTTAATATTAGGGTGGAACACTTTTGTATGAAATTTTTTTTTCCTAGAATCTTTTTGGAATACCATGTAAAAGTTGCTTTATGTAATTGTAAATAATATACCTTAAGGGGAAATATAACCTCAAATGGCTTAGCAAGATCCTCCGTTATGCCGAAAGTATTGCAGCATTAATTTTGAAATAAATATATGGTAAAGTTGAGGATTAATGTTAAGGTTTATGTTAGACGAAAACACGATTCCGTAAAATTTTCTCGATAGAAAAAAAAATCCAAAGTTACCTCCAAACTGAACAATAAACCGCTGTTATTCATAAAATACTTTAAATAAGATCATGAAACTTTGCATACTAACTGAACTAACCATAAAGCAGTGCTTATGTTATTTACTTTTTTTAAAATATCATTATTTTCACTGTAAAAAAGAAATTACCTAAACTATCGGCGCGTAAGCTTGGTTCCTGTCGCTCCGTTAGTATTGCTCCGGCTTTTGAAGGGAGAAGTTGTGTCGCTTACGATCAGAAAACACATTACGCAACAGGAAGACGTAAAATTAAAATGGGAAATAACCGTTATAAAAATAAGAAGCGACTGGGTTGGCGTTAAGAAACAGGCATATATATGATAAACATAATGAAATAAGTATCTAACGACCTATCTACTTAGAGTATTAGTGATTACAAACATGTCGGTACATAGCATACGACGCGCGGGGGAAGTGGGGGCGAAATTAGAATTTGAGCTGACTTACTCTCACCTCTTAATATAAAAACTCTAACTCGACTGCTTGAACTCCCGCCATAGACTTGAAATTTCATTTTTCAAGTTTTTATAGACGCGTTGTATAGTACACCCTAAATACAAAATTGGAAGTAAATGTTATATGTTATGCATGTAAACAATAAAATAAACATTATTTTCATTAATAAAATAGTTTATTTTGAATGTGAATACAGGTTAAAAAAGTTATGTCTCTATGAATAATGTTATTTTTTAAAGCAGAAATACTTTTTCGTCTCAAACTTTGGCATGACTTTTCGAGATGCTAATTTAGATTTTATGAATCCCTCTCTTCTTTTCTTTTCGCGTACACTTAGAGCTGCTTCTGTCACAACTTTGACTGATCTATCCACAGCCTGGGTGTGGCAAGGCAGTCTCATAAACTCCAAAATTGCATCTCCTCCATTTTCAATGAGATCTTGCAACTGCTCATTAGAAATATTCTTTAGAATTGGCGGTTCGTATATATTTTGTTGCTAGTCAATCAAGTCTATGTAACAACGTGAATTAAGGTTCACTTTTGGCAACTCAAACATGCGCGGAACAGAATTTTTATTAGCTTGACGAGCTTTTATAATGCGTCTTGCAGCGAGTTCTCTAATACGCTTCCGTGAATCTGTTATCATACTTAACAAAATGTTTTCGGGATGAGCAAAGTAACTGTTTCGAATTAAAACAGACAAAGGACAAATACCTAGTGCTGTTAATGAGCTTCCATAAATGTTTTGAACCATCTTTGCAGGATGAATGTGTTTTGATAGCAAACCAGACAGGGGCGTATGATTTTACGACAAACGTAGCTAAAATTACAAGATTTTCTTGTGGAAATCTTTTCGATGGAATTCTGTAGAAATATATAAACGCAGTATGCGATTAGCTTTTGTTAACCAGTGGGCATGGGATAGCTTACCTGGGCTTCGGTTTAATAAATAGGGAGAGCAGGATCCACTAATGACAGCAGTAATAATTTCTAGTAAATATTTTTGGTCTGTACTGAGATCTGTTGTTATTTGTGGAGGTAGATCACAGTCTATCTTCTCAAAATGGGCCAACGACAACGTCTCGCATGTCTCTAATGCTTTACCAATTTGCCCTGCAAATGATTTAGGTCCTGAAGTAGGGCCATCCAAATAGGTAAACAAATGCCTCAATGGCAACTCATTGGCGTGTAAGAGACAAATTATCCATTGCAATGTTCGAGATAGTCAAATTTCGGGAACGTCGAAAGGAGTTTTTAAAAACTAAACTACAACTAAATTAATACGTCTCACCGATTTGGAGGTGGCTTTAATAATGAATCAATCTTAAAGAGTCTGTTCGTACGCAGACGTTCGACTCATCAACTAAGTACTAGGAATCTTATATAAAATGCTGATGTGTTACTTTTATCGCTTAGCCTAAATAATACGATATAATATATATTAATATACTAGTCTAAAACAGAGGGACGGGGTGCATCCATAACTCCTCCCTCCCTAAGAGCAAAATTATCGGAAATATCATTTTTAATGTTTTTACGATAATTTTGGAAGTGAGGCATACATTTTTTTCTTATTATGTATATTAAAAACAATAGGAAACTTAAGGCTAGAAAATTTAAAATTACATATGTTAGAACACTGAAGTTAGAGTCTCTTTCTCCTTTGAAGACACTTCTGTGTAATATATTTCACTATGTTTTAACAGCTTCGCTGCCAACTGGAATATGGTGACGTCGTGGGAAAATCCGTTGTTTTTTTTTTTTGTAAAATATGCATGAAGGACGTTTCAATATTGTTATTTTGGAAATATTTAACTATTTTTAGAAGGTTTTGGTAAGAAAATGCTAAATAAAAAAATCCGAGAATTTGCGGACCTGGCACTAAGATTGACATTTTAACCCAAGTCCGCAATTTTGCTGAGTAGTTTCTTTTATGTATTATGGTTTATTTAAAATTATCTATGGTATTAAACACAAAGAAAATATTAGTTTGCTTAAATTCTAATACATTTGGTAAGTGTAGCAGTGCCGGGCGCGTACTAATTCGTAGTAACCAAGCGGCGCTACTCCGCATATTAGCGGGGCCGGCACCCCGCGCTCACCCCGCACTCCGCTAATTCGCGGAGCTGGCAGCGAAGTTGTTAAAGCATTTGACATATACTTCACTTCGTCTAAGTTGACACCATTCATGTTAATTACGCGTGTACTTGTTACATTGGTAGTTGAACGTAATTGAGGTAAGTGGATGACTGGAACTGGTAGTGCTGCCTCGTATTCTGTGTAGACACGGTTGTGATGAATGTAAGTACCATGTATCTCCAGGTCACAGGGCTCATCACTGGTTAGTATATAGGTTCCAAAAATGGGTTGCTTGCTGATCTCGTTATCGCAGTGTTTGGTAAGTGTCGTTCTTAGCTTTGTGAAAACAATCCAATTTTCTGCTTTAATTTGCTGTACTTTAACGTCTTCAATTATAATAGCGTGTTGCATGCAACAAGTAAGGTTATTCTCAAATTTCATCAACTGTTCTATGCAGGTAAGTCCAGGGTAGAGGGCTCTATTTTCTTCGGTACACAGGAAATCATTACCAGCAGCAAGCGGGCGACAGGGTTTCGTAACTGGTAAGTATTTC